GGTGTTCGCGCACAGTACTGAAGGTCTTGGGTTTGAATCAAAAGTTTTTGTCGACCGTTCCTCATTGGAAGCAGTAGTAGTAGGTTGAATTTGGATAAATAATACTTAAATTAACAATCACACAAAACCTTATGACCATTACGTTATAACAGGTGTGTAAATAATTAGATGGCGAAGAATTGTAAACAAAAAGGGGCGAGAAAAATGTGCAACCAAATACAGAATGTGAAAACAACAAAGAGAATGATAAAACGTCACTTTTTTTAATCATTCATTGAGTTATATCCGACCGAGGAAGGGCGGGACAACGATATCACGACTTTCTTCCCGAACACATAATTTGTAGGGGTGATTGGTCGGATTCGCAAGTCTTCTGCTATAAATCGAACTCCGCTGGGAAATGATGAAGGTATACGCGAGAGATCACTTGAAATGATTCAATTTTATCCAGACTACAACCGCTAAATCAATCAGGTGTACCAAGATAGAGCTGATATCGTACGGTGTAAAATGATTTACACTTTCACTTGAATTGTTCCAAAACATTCTCCAATATTAAAAAAAACAAAACAAAAATAAGTCAACTATTGATTTATTTAATTAGGTCATAAAATTATTTGCTAGATTAATTAAAGATTATTTTATTGTTTTTGCATTAATTTAAAAAGAAAAATTTAAATTTCTGATAAATAAAATACACACACAATGACCTAAGTATTCAAATTAGGAAATGATTATTTTCATTATTCTGTTTAATTTGAAAATAATCTAATTATATGGGATTGATAAGAGAATACTGTGGATTACTGGATAAAGTCAGCAAATCAGTGAGTTAATAAAGCGGTGAATTCTCATCGATTGAAATTGATACGCTCGTCAATTGAAATGCTTACATGCTATTACGAATTCACTTTACTTGGTAAATGGAACGAAGAGCAGTGACTCTGTGAAACGATAGGTTATTCTAATCCGATTATTGCCGGTCCTGTTAACTGCAGCTAGAAATCTTGATAAGACGTAGAGAATGTATTCTACAAACACCCAGAAAGTACGAGGCTGACAAGCACACAAATCAAGTCCTTGAGAGAACCACAAAATATTAATCCATCAAGGATTCCCGAGTGGGAAATGTAAGCTGATGGTCAGCTGGCGCGAAAACGCTGAAATTCAAAATTTCAGAATAAAACAACAACAACTTTCTCACGTGAGTGTGGTGTGAGCTACTTATAAGTAGTATATGACGTGAGTGTCAACGTAATGTCTGGCAGCCGAAGATGGGGGAACATCAAGAAAGGAAGAGTTAGAAGAACACAATGGAATTTGTATGAAACGCATGAATAGTGACAATGGATTGATGTTTGGCAACAGGAACAGTCCAGTTTGATAGGATGGACTGATAATTTGCAAATGAACGATTTACGATATGGTTTTACTGAGTAACGCTGTAATTTCGCTGAATACAGTTCGGTTGCCCCACCTGTGTTCTCGTTCACTACATGAGTTCTAGGGATCTAAATTCGTCAACAGAGATATCTAGGTTATGTATTACGTCTGGTCAACATACGATAACCTTCATCAGACAATCAAACCGATACGTGCTATCAGTCACTAAACTCATCGACAACCTGTTCAGGGTTTGCGTGGTCATCGTAACCGATGGTTAGAGACTTTGAATATCTTGGATCATTGGAACTGGTCTTTATGAATACACACGTTTTATTCCCTTGAATTCTAAGTTCGCTAATTGTATCAAAGGGTTTTTATTCCAAAAAAATTATTTTCCATGCCTCTTATTGCCTAAAACTACTGATACAGTTATTTCCCGGACTACTGTGGTGGAGAAAATTTGTATCTCAGGCGGATGATTCTGTTGGTGTTTCGTTCTCTGAGCTGGATGTTTTGGTTGTGGAGTTTTCATTGTTCTTCTTCTGAACAACTTCAGATAGAAGTGAAGCATTCGAATTTCTCCATGTCTGACCTGTAGCTTGTTCTACTAACCTCGATCCTGATTGGTTACTGTTGACCTTCAACCTGTCGTTCAAGAGAGCGAAGACACGCTGCAGCACACCTGAAGTGCAAAACAAGGAGAAAAATATCTAATGACCATCTTCCAAAAGCACAGGATTCCACGCATCTTCATCAAAAAACATCGACTGAAATCGTCAACAGAAGCGAAATCAAGTGCAGGAACCAATAAGCGGATCATCCTGTGATACATAAAAGACATCGGAACTTACAGCAGGTCTAATGAGACCATTTGGAATAGGTGTAGCACACAAACTAACAGAATCACTTCGATTAATCCAATCTAAGCCAAAAGATAAAATGACAAAGGAAGAAAAACCGAACATCATCTTCAAAATAAATTACTCAGACTGTGGAAAACACTATGCAGAATCAAGTGGACGTCCTCTTCAGCTTCGTTTACCAAATACCATGACATTTCTTCGCTTATATCAATACGTAAGGAATGCTCCGCTACCAAAACATCCAGGTCAGGTATGTAAATATTGTTAAAGAGTACTAGTCACTTACTTACTACTATATTACCATTACTACTGTAGTGAAGGAGAACACAGGTGAGGGCAACCGAATTGTATTTAACGAAAATTACAGAGTTACTCAGTAAAATAGGAAAACCATATCGTAAATCGTTAATTTGCAAATCTTCAATCAATCATCAATCCATTGTCTGACATTTCACTATTCATGCGTTTCATACAAATTCCATTGTGTTCCCACACTTCCTTTCTTGATCTTCCCCCATCTTTTGCTGCCAGACATTACGTTTTCACTCGCGTCATATACTACTTATAAGTAGCGCACACCACACTACTACTTTCGAACAAAGCGTTTAGATTCACGTATAGTCATTTAGAATCTGTCAGACTGAAATTCATGATATCTGTCACAGCCTTCTATGGTTATTCAATTCTTCAAAATTATACATACATTCCCCTCATTTATTTTATATTTGTGTAAACCGGTTGAAAGATATTGTAGTTTTCAGTGACTATAGAGAATTTATGGATGCGATCTTTTGAAATTAATGAGGTCATGAAATGTTTAATTCAGCACAAAGTTTACCTAAGATGTGTAGATAACGCTTTTGTCATCATGAAGCAAAAACTGTTTGTGACAAATATTTGAAAATATATGCCAGTAGGGTGGTATTTTTTGAGTACAGTCTTGCATTACTCGGTTTTTTGGTTGCTCAAAGACAGTAATAATAATTTTAAAATGAGGATATCCAAGAAATCCGGATATTTTGACAGATATATTAAGAATGCCAAATAGAAACACCGGATAAAATCAAGACAATAATATGTAAGTGTGGTGTGTGCTACTTATACGAACGATATAAGTAGTATAAGAAGGGACGTGAAAGAAGAAGTTTCACGGTCACAAGAGGAAAACGGAAAGCAAATGGAGCAAAAGCAAGAAGTAAATTAAGTATCAACAGGAATGGAAGAAGGATGGAGCATTGGAAGTCACGACTGAAAGATGGTGTGCAAATAGAGTATTCAATGTAATGTTTTCGTTTTTAATTGACTGAGTGTAAATGTCATCTGTGAAATTAATTGTCATATGAGGTTTTAACGTGATTGGGACGTTAGATCCCCGGAACTCACTTGATAAAGGTCCTAATTTTGGATTTTTTATGTTTTCGCACATAATTTACTCAGTTGACCTTGAGACTACAATTCCCCCTCGGAAATCCTTGACTGTCATTGGTTGATGGATTATTTTAGTACGCTATTTTCATGACTCTCTTAAAGGCGTTTCTATCGTGTATAAATAAGCTCGATTTGTATGCTTGTCAACCTCGTATTTTGTAGGTGCTCGTAGAATACACTTTCTACGTTTTACCAAGACTTCCTGATATAGTTAGCCGTGCTGAGGACAAAGGGATTCAAATAGCCTGTTGTGTCACTGAGTCATGGCTCTTCGTCCCGTTATCGAGTGAGGTGAACTAGTTATAGTTCACGCATATCAAAAGGACAAAAAACAAATTTTCATTACATAATTTCAAATCCTCAATGAATCTTATGGGGCTCGATAATTGATGCGCATTCATTGAAAAAACGGGACTCAAGGCTACACCTCAGAAAGGATTTGATGTGTATGACATTCATAAGCATATGACACGAAACTGTGATGATTGTTATTTAACAAATTGAATTTCGGAACTCGTATTTCACTTCATCTACACCAACTGTACTTTAAATTTCAAAGTAAAATAAATCGGATTTTTGAGGACGTTAGATCTCCAGAACTCATTTGATAAATGTCCCAATTTTGAATTTTATTCATAATCTGATCAGTTGACCTTGAGATTACATTTCCCATTTGTTCATGAATTTTTTAGCACGCTATTTTCGTGGCTCGCCCAAGAACGGTTCTATCATGTATAAATTAAACTCGATTTGTGTGCTTGTGAACCTCATATTTTCTGGATGCTTGTAGACTAAACTTTCTACATCTTGTCAAGACTTCTTCCTCTACTTAGTCGGGCAATGAGACGCTCTGATTAGAATAGCCTATCGTGTCACTGGATCATTTGTCTTCACTCTCGTAATAGTTTCAAGCATATCAATGGATGAGCATAACACGGATGCTTAATTATTCTGTTTTATGTTATGACTTAATTCTATGTCCAACACAATCAAATAAAAATGATCATTTTTATTTGATTCCACCAAAATATGAACTATTTAAATTTTTACCGATATAATTTACTATGTAAATGAACGAACATATATCGTTTCCTTACTCGCATTATCAACCACCTATTCACATCTTAAATGTATCCAACTTTTTTTTACTGTTTACAATATCAACATTGAAATATATATACCTGAATATGTTTATTCTGTTAAAATGTGGTTTTTGACTGCAACTGTTATCTATAACCAAACACGTTGGCTTATTTCAACAGACAATGTTTACATTTCATGTCTTTCTTAGTATAATCTCAATCTTACAATTATTTTGGTTATTTAATCATTATTATTATTATTATTATTATTATTATTATTATTACTAGTAGTAGTAGTAGTAGTAGTAGTAGTAGTAGTAGTAGTAGTAGTAGTAGTAGTAGTAGTAGTAGTAGTAGTAGTAGTAGTAGTAGTATGAGAGTGTAAAGGTTTACTTAAGCGTTCTATCTATATGTAAATATCCTATTTGATAACAGTGAAAAGTAAATACTACTTTTCTGTTCCTAACCATATCGATTCTTAACGTAGGTGGTTTTGCTTTGAAATCAGTCATTTTTTGAAAAATTATTCCAGTTCACTGTAAAGCCATTAAACAGTTGAATAAAATATATTTTATTGTAATGTTGCATCCGTTACTTCGTTATTATGGGAATTAAATAGCGATTGTCGAATTTCCTTTGGCGATTAACTATCCTGTTTGGAATTGACTGACTTCGTGAGGGGTTTATGATCTGTATACACTGTGAAAATGGTACCGTCAAGCATATATCGGAAATACTTCATTGCTAAATAGATCGCTAGCAATGCGCTTCCGAACTTACTGTACCTCGTTTCAGTGGAGTTTAGTCTATTTGAGAAAAATGGAAGTGGTTCTTATGTGCCATTTACAAACTGTTGCAACGGTGATGTTCGATGCGTCATTCATGACGGCTAGTGGGTCTTCGCACTTTCGTCACACTAACACCGTCTTATCATTGATCACTCGTTTTGCGTTCTCGAATGCTTGTATAGCGTTGGCTCATAGACTGAATGTCCGGGCATGTCCTTTTACAGCGTCCGTCGGCGGTTGTAATATTGTTTCTCAGTCTGGAGTTAGTTTATTATCCCAAGGAATAGTTGTAATCAATGGATAGTCACGAACAACTGCCGAAACTGTCGTGATACTTTGAGAATGTATCATGTGTCCTAGAATTTGAAGTTGTTCCTGCACAAATCCACTCTTCCCAACGTTACTGGCAACACCATGTTCTTGTAGATTTTTAGGCAACAGTTTTAGTTGTTGTAGATGTTCTTCCGCTGTAGCGTCAGCTACTAGTATGTCATCGATGAACACGTATACTTTTGACAAACCTCTAACCATCTGGTCGATGGATCTCTGCAAGATTTGAGTTGCATTAGTTAATCGAAAGGGCATTCGCGAAAGTTTAACTCATATAGTCTTCCTCTTCTCCTTCGGCTTTGAGATTTCCAAGTTAGGGCTTACCTTGTGACTCAGTTATATGGTTTTCGCATTGTGTGTCCTATCTGCCTGGAGCCCCTCCTGAGTTACTCCGATCCTAAGACTGGATAAGGTAGATTGGCAGGGAAATAACGGTTCAATTACCTTTTTTACGCTAACTAGTTTACAACCTAATGTCTGAATTTATATTTTTTCTGATAATTTATCAAAAGCTCTATGCTACGAGCAGAAAAAGTATCTACAAAGAAAATATCAAGCACCATTACTTAAGATTGATGAAATTCATACTATTTGCCCAAAACGGCATGAGTAAAGTGATTTCACGAAACGTGCTTGGAAATAATCATCAATCACGATGATACTTCCATTGAATGAATCGCAAGGAATTGAATAATCACAGAAAATATGTTTTGTGTGCTTGGTCTTTCTGATCACCTTTTTTAAGCGATTACCTTTTTTATATCAATATATACTACTAACAAACAATTCAGTAGCCAAAGTAATAATAGCTCATAAGCATTGGACATGTGTTTATCTGAAGTGTTGTTTTCAAAACATTTTCGTGAACTGGCAGCATTCATATCACCCATTGTTAAAATTGCATTTTTTAAACTTGTGAAATATACTTTTAAATTCGTTGTAGTTAGCGAAAATTCATTTTTCGTACCAGTTTTCATACCTTTGCATATCAATTTCAGGAAGTACCATTCCCTGAATGCACCCAAACTTGATTGGGCCAGTAAACACATTACGATTTGGTCTTCGTAATTAATTCAATGTAATTTTGTAATCCATCGTCTTTCATGTGTTAGTTTGATCGGATGCATTAGTGGATCATGTGTTCAAAAACGCTGACAGGATTCTGCCAAATTCTTAGCTGTTAAGAAAATACTTTTACACAAAATGTGGGATGAGTTAAATATGATTAGCTATATCATTTTGAAATAAGAATTTTGTGGTTGGATGTACAGAAGTCAGCCTAGCTTTACCAATTGCTAAAAAATTCACTTCTACGCCAACCCCGTGGGATCATTCTATCATGATAATAAACATGGTTTATCTACTTGCCTTCGTATCAGTGCAGATATGTGTGTTCCTCAATATGTAGGCAGTGGAGTCCATAATATTATAACACATGATGTTCTTTTTGCTTCTGTTCTCTACATTTTGATAAAAGTTTAACTAATCACTACTTCTTTAATATTTATGGTCTTACGCTCAAAAAGTTTTTTCGGTGGACCAAAAAATACCTATAGTCGGTTTAATTTCAGCCCGTAGATTTTGTGTGACTGATTCAACTGCAGTATATGTACTTCCTTAGTCACTGATTATTCATTCATGAAGTATTCTGAAGTATTTGTGTATAGTCATTTAATCAGTGTGTACTGACATTCGACTGGTGTGAAATATATATTTAAAAATCTCTATGAAATATGTGTTTCGCGTAGCTTTTCGTCAAGTAAAATCAGATTTCATTTCTACATTTGTTATATCACCATGTGCAAATAATTCACTAAAGATTTGATTGACTACTTGATCAATGACGAACCTTTTTCTTGATTTCAAAATAAAATGTGGTATTACTGTTAATAAATACCTTAAAAATTAGAAGTCGATTGATAAATCGACTGGCTTTAGATCATTTTCTTATGTTATCTAAAAATTTCTAAACTCTTCGCATTCGTTATTGTTAAATTTGTTGTCTTTTTCTATCGAATATAGCACTATCAACATACATTCGACTTAAGCTGAAATTGATTATCGTTGAAGGATTTCAAAATACTGAGTGTCTTTAAGTTTCACAGTAAATTATAAACATTATATCTCTGATATAGATTGATGCCATGGCTTTCAACAAACTTTAATTAAAGCTTATTTTTAAAGCAAAAGAAATCGATTTCGAACAGAGTAAACACTTAAGGAACACTTATTCATCCTGAAATATTAATCCGCTTGCTTGTAAATAGTTAATGCTGTCACGGATTGGTTCGGTCGTTTTCGGAACTCGAGACATCGGTCTAATCTCGATAACGATTTGACAGTTTGCACTTTCAACTGATGAACAGTCACTAAAGTTGCCAAACTATACCTCATGAGTTAGTTCATGACGTGGATATCTTCCACATGGAAAACTGCCATAAAACATTCATCAAAACTTTGAATCAAATAGTAGTATCTGGGCATCTTAAATCCTAGTATGTTCGAACTTTGCGGTTGGATACGCATTGCATGTTTTGAGCTCAAATTTTGTAATTATCAATAGAATTCTTTACAAATGAAAATATTTTACACATTTGAAATCGTCAATGAACCATTGTTAGACCAGGATTAGAAACGTGGAAACACTAGACGGCCAGTCCGAGTTAGACATTAACACCTTCTGGGGCCGCCCCAGTAGTCCGTAGGTTAGGCGATCGCTGAAGAGCCGAGTTCGATTCCTGTGAGCCGCAGCAGTCGTGGATGCGCACTGCTGATGAGTCCCATACGGGGACGAAACGGCCGTTCAGTGCTTCCAGGTTCTTAATGGTGGTCCAACAATGGTTGGTTGATGATTTCAAATGTGTAAATACACTAATCTCCATAACTCTAATTGGAAACACTTTATTTATCAATGTTATACTTGATAATTCTTTCAAATAGTTACATAAATATCAATTGTCCAAATTCTTTTGTCTACATATCATGAAACCAGTTAATAGTTTTTTTCAAATAACATAAAACGCATGGTTTACTGATATTCTGTCGAAAAATTGACCGGATGCTATGGTCGAACAAATAAGAACAATTATACCCTACATTCGAATGACGTTACACTTATTTGTTGATAACATTAAACGTAAACTTTGAATAAATTGACTTTATGCACTAATTTAAAACAATTTAAGTTTGAAATTAAAATCAAACTCCAACCTATATATATGTAGATTAGGTATAAATTCATGTTGGTACACCGAATTAATGCAAAAATCGACCTTCAAACCTGCTCATGTTGACATATACTACTGCATATATTGTTATACGTTAATATCAATCAGACTGTCAGCTAGAAAATTAGTGTAATACATAACATCATGAAAATAAACTGCAACGTTTCTTTCATCAACTGACTGGAAATATATTCGCCATTCATTGTCTGTCAGTCAGTCAGTCATTTACAACGTAGGATTTCGTACGTACGTATATATCAGTTCAGGTTGCCATGCGGCATTAGCACAGAGACGCAACCGTCAGTTCAAATCCAATAGTGTTAGCGATAGTAGAAGTATTTGCAGTAATGGAGAAGATTGGTGTTCAAAGATATGATTCGAGAACTATAATTCAGTGAGATTAATATAGAAAGAGAAAGATAGAAATGACAAGGAATTCAGAAGGTTAGAATTTGAGAGAACACAAAAAGTGGATGCACCTGCGCCATAGCAAACGATTCTGAGCCAATTCGTTCAAGGTCTTTAAATTTCGTCTCGTGGACTCCAACCAGGTAGCCTTCATCTGCCAACATGACTCAGTCCACTTGTCAGTGACTTCATGGATTTCCACCATGTTTTGGTTTAGCCGCCACTAGCTTTCTCCGAACCTACTCCTACACAACAAAACAAAGCTCGTTGAGGCAGTTGGTTTACCTTAGTAGGAAAACAAGAGCGAGGATCGAGGATCTGGTGACACGAGATGCTACTCTTATCCGAGTGTCTAAAACACCCATTGACTTAAAAGAAGAAGACTTGATATGAAGTAGAATCTGTATTCTACATGCATCCTGAAAGTACGTTGTCCGAGTCTAGAAGAAGGCACGGATCCGGGTCTGGTTCCGGTCCATGAAACGTTACAGATAATGCGTATTTATACATTTAAGTCGAATAGGAAACAACATTGAAGTACGTGACATTGACAGTTAAGACGATCATAATATAGACCAGTAGGAATTGACCAATCGAATTATAGATTTCCAAAAATAATTGTCTTCTTAGGATATTTTAATAAATATCCTAACAATTAGTAATGTCGATTCTTATTTTACCACGGATGGCTTAGTACTTACTAATGTAATTTTCATTTATTTCCTTGTGGTGTGTGCTACTTATACGAACGATATAAGTAGTATAAGAAGGGACGTGAAAGAAGAAGTCTCACGGTCACAAGAGGAAAACGGAAAGCAAAAGCAAGAAGTAAATGGAGTAGTACCAACAGGAAGGGAAGAAGGATGGAGTGCTGGAAGTCACGACTTAAAGATGGTGTGCAAATAGAGTGTTCAATGTAATGTTTTCGTTTTTAATTGACTTGAAAACCGCCAACTTTTCATCCTGAATCAGTTTGAGTTCATTGATAATGGTGTTTTTTCCTATTATTCGCAAAAGATTCTAACAGGTTTATGCATACATATTATGTAATAATGTGAAAAAGTTATTTATTTTCTCTGAAATAAGGTTTATTCTATTTTGTTAGTCTTTTAAAACAATCCTATTTCTTTACATAGATAAGTAAGTAACTGTCAATCAGATTAGTGTAATTAGTTGTAATTAGAAAAATATATCACACTACTGTCAATAATACGTGATGGATAAAACAAAACGAACATTAATTTTTAATTTGAGCAGACACCTTTGTTTATTTAACAAAATAATCATGATAATACAATGTCAATAAAATATTTTTTAACAAAATTCAGTTGAATAATCAACTTAAGTCAATGTAATTACATATGAATGTCACTACATGATAATTGATCAAGGGTTATTTATGATTCATTCTTCTAGTTTAATATATTTATGAGGATAAATAAATTTTCATTGTAAGATTGTGGAGATTGTTGGGTTTCATTGAAATCATAAAGAGATCAATGTTAGACTATCAGTAGAAACTGTGGTGGTGTTATGTTCTCTGAGCTGGTTGTTTTGGTTGTGGAGCTTTCATTGTTCTTCTGAACAACAGCATCAGCACAAACTTCAGATAGAAGAAGTGAAGCATTCGAATTTCTCCACGTTTGACCTGTAGCTTGTTCTGCTAACATCGATCTTGATTGGTTGCTGTTGACTTTTGACCTGTCGTTGTTTCCAACTTTGTTTTGATTGCACCCCCCTTTCGATCTGTTTCTTGATCCTATGTCACCTATGATTTTTCTGATTGATTGATAAATTGGGTCAATGTCGATGTGTTTGTTGATTGCTGATTGACCTGAGTGCCAAGCTTCTAAAAATTCTCTAGTGTTCTTTGTCCTCCCTCTATCCAGTATTTCCACATTGTTCCAGTCAAATGTGTGTCCATAATTGTCGGTATGTATTGATATTAGCGAAGCGTTGTCGTGGAGTTTGACTGCTAATTGATGTTCACGTAAACGGAGCTGAAGAGGTCGTCCACCTTGTCCTATGCAGTGTTTTTCACAGTAGAAACCCACAAGCACTGGATAGCTGTTTCGTCATAGGATGAAATTTTTCAGCAGTGCACGTCTACGACCCTAGATCACAAGAACCGAACTCAGGATCAATGATCGATTCATGATTTCAATGAAACTTGACAATCTCCACATCCATTGAATGAAAATTATCATATGCTCACTAGTGACTATCTCTGTTAAGAATTTTCTACAAGTTCCAGTTAGAAGTCGTGACTACTAGTGGAGTTCAACTCTGTTGGGTGTGAAGCAGTGCTCACTGAAGTCAATGGATGAGGTTGCGCAAAACCA